TAGAGATGCACAGAACAGCTTCCATACAATGATTTACTCCTAAAATTCCCATAATGGCCAGGAGGCAGTAGTTTGGAGCTGAGAACTCTACCCTGTTCTCCCACATGGGTGGCAGGAATCTAGAAATCCAACACTTGAACCATTACTGCTACCTCAAGAAAGGTACCTTAGCAGGAAGCTGGAGTCAGCAGCCAAAGCACGACATTTAACGTAAACTCCAATGAGGGACACAGCCGTTCTTCACTAGCATCTTAACCCACAGGCCACAGACCTCCAAGACTGTCCACGTTACTGTGTTATCAGTTTTCCTTGTGTACAGTTAAGCGGTAATTCAGTCTATAGATACAGCATAAAGTTCAGCTATTCTCCTATTGACAGGCACTTGGACTGTTTCCTATGTTAGGTAATTTCTGGACTTTCCTGCATGTCCTTTCTTTGGCCAAATTCTGCACTCTCTCCTTCACTCAGGGAGCTGCTATCTGTCTTTCTGATGTAGGCAGCAACAGAATCCCCAGTCTCCCAGGTAGGCAAGGACAGAGGAGGCGCTCCTCTGGCACCACGTGTAAGCCGTCACAGGAGAGATGACATCATGTTGAAAAATGGTTTCTTATCTGTCTCTGTCAAAGCTATAAACTTTTTGAGAGAAATGGGAAATTTTGTTTCTGTACTATTACAGCTTCAGCATTTAGCACAATACCTGGAGAATAATAGACACTCAGATATGCAATACAATGCTGGGCACTGTCAGAAACACATGAGCTAATGAAAAAGTACAGGGTCCATTTGCTATCGTGCTCCTTGCACCTTTCCAGCTCTTGCAAGGAGAGGAAGCACGCCACAGCGTGGGTCTCATCATGCACTTGGTCCTGGGTCAACTTCCCATAACCTTCCTAAAATAACAGTGAATGCACCCCCTAGTTCTCACAAGATTTTATTTTTAATTCTAAACGTTACCAGTGATACTATTTTACCAATGGCACTAAATATATACTGGAAAAAATATAGTACATGATAAAAACACACTGTACCCTTCAACCAGTCCTCAATCCCAAGAGGAACATTTTTTATTTGTTTTTATGAAGAATACAAGGGTCACACCAAAGAAAAGATCTGGCTCAAACGTAGTCTCAAGTTTAACCTATTTAGAATTATTCTCCTAAAACACATGCCAAACTTTGAAATTATAATACAACATATTAAAAGTCTACTAAAAAACTATTCTTGGTATTTTTTAAAGATTTATTTATTTTATTGGAAAGGCAGATGTACAGAGAGGAGGAGAGACTGGAAGATCTTCCGTACCATGATTCACTCCCCAAGTGAGCACAACAGCCGGTGCTGTGCATATTCGAAGCAAGGAGCCAGGAGCCTCCTCCAGGTCTCCCACGCGGAAGCAGGATCCCAAAGCACTGGGCCGTCCTCGACTACTTCCCAGGCCACAAGCAGGGAACTGGATGGGAAGTGGAGCTGCTGTAACTAGAACCAGCGCCCACATGGGATCCTGGCATGTTCAAGGTGAGGACCTTAGCCATTAGGCTATCGCACCAGGTCCTATTAGCACTTTTAACAAAAACGTTACTATAGCTGATTTCCCCCCTTTTAAAAAATAGTAAAATAACTATCTTCATGACACATCTTTTTCTACAAATCTCTACTTTCCTAAAGTTGAACACATCTTCAAGAAGAAACTTGCCTTGGGGGAAAAAAAAAACATGAAAATGACTGGAATGCTAGAATTAAATACTCTTAGTGAGACTAAACAGATGTGTCTCAACTTTCAACACATGAAATTTGACAAAATAGTAGGAAGGTTGACAGAAATAGAATCAGAGCCTTGCTGACAGACATTTTAAGTGCTTCTCAGAGTTCTCTGCAAACATACATTCTATCCATTCCATTCCATAAGTTTAAAGGCAAAGGCTTATTCTTTTATGCCAAAAGGGAAGCTCCAAGCATTCCACTGAAGTTGATGCAGCAGCCGGCTGTGCCACTGTGGAAGCAACAGAAGCAACAGGGCTGAAATCCTCTGCCTGTCATGTCCTTCCCCACGGGCTGCCGCTGCAGGTGACAGGTGGCAGTCCATGACAGTATATTCTGCTTCTCAGCACAGGAGCACCAGTGCTGGGATGCTTGAAGACACATACATACACTCTGAACGAACTGAGGAGAGGGGCGGGCATTTGGCCATTTGGCACCATGCTTATGTTGCAGCTTGGGACACCCACAATTCCACGCTGGACTGGCTGGGGTTGAGTCCTGGCTATGCTATGAACTCCAGGTTCATGTTAGTACACATCCTAGGAGTCAGTGAAGATGGCTCAAGGAGCTCGGTCCCTGCCACATACACGTAAAACCTGAACTGAGCTCTAGGCTCCTGATTTCAGCCTGGTCCAGCCTCAGTTACTGCAGGCATTTGAGGAGTAAACTATGCATGACAAGTCTCTGTCTCTAGCATTCCGTATTTCAAATAAACAATACTGAAAACTGAGCAAGGATGAATGACAGAGCAGAGTCTCTCCGCAATGCAAGACTGACTGAGGGAAACAACAATCTAATGTGTCAGGCCTGCTCCATCTCTCTCCTCTCCCGCAACAAGCTGAGTGCTATCATCCCCTCTCCCCTACTGCCTGTTGAAATCCCATGCCTGAGGGGCTGGGGATGTGGTACAGTAGGTTAAGCTGCCATCTGTGACACTGGCAAGCAACAATTCGAGAATGAGAACATGATCCACTTTCGATCTGACCACTTGCTAATGTTCCTGGGAAGACAGGCTAACACAGTGATAAAGCACTGTATAACCCAGAAACTGCACAGTTTGTAAACTCTCAATAACAACATGAAGTCTATGAATGACTTTAAGAGTAAAGTTTCAGGACTGGTGCAATGGTTCAGTGGCAAAATCCTCACCCCATATATGCTAGGATTCCATATGGATGCCAGTTCATGTCCAAGCTGCTCCGTTTCCCATTCATCTCCCTATTCGTGACCTGGGAAAGCAGTAGAGGACAGCCCAAAGCCTTGGGTCACTGTACCTGAATGGGAGACCCAGAAGAAGCTCCTGGCTCCTGGCTGTGGATCATCTCGGCCCAGATATGGTTGTTGCAACCACTTGGGGAGTGAACCAGCATATGGAAGATCTTTTTCTCTCTCTCCATTTGTAAATCTGACTTTCCAATGAAAATAAATATTAATCTTGTCTAAGAAAACAATAGCACCCTGCAATTTTTAAAATAATACACTTACATTTCAAAGTGAACTCAGATTCAAAGACCCCTAATACAGTACTTCTATTCTGTTCCTTGGTGCATTTACTGATGGGGCACTTGCGTGCGCGCTCGATGAGAGAAACAAGATCTCTGCTCTGCAGGCACACAGAGTCCAGAGGCAGGCTCTTGTTCTAGAACCAAAGAATTTATCACTAAAAGGGAATTTGCAGTTCCCAGCCTTCACAGATAAGGACGCTACAAGTTGGCATTAACTTAAGCACAAGGTAGACTGATTTCTAGGCCTAAGCAATCCTTTATATGAGTTTTTTTTTTCCCCTATGGATGAAAGTGACAAAGTGGTATTTCCACCAGAGTGAAGCAGAAGCCTGCCTCTGTGCGTTGGTTATTCACATGACAGTTTTTAAATCACAGACAGAAATTCTTACAGAAATGGACATCAACAGCTGTCTAATTTTTAAATAGCATTTAAATGTTTAATAACAGAGACAGAAATCCTCAAGAGTTATAATAAAGCCCTAATTAGCAACCTTTATTAAAGAAGATAATAATATAATAATATGCATTCAAAGCCATGATTATGGTTTTGTCTGTCTGTTGTGTAAAATGGGCATGCACGTATTTGTTTCATAAGATTGATATAAAAATTAAACAAATGCTCCAAATATTTAGTAAGCCTGCTACCTAGTAAATCCTCAGTATATGGTAGGTAGTCTTACAGACAACCACTTCTTAGATGTTCCAGTGCATCATATAAACAGGAGAAGGGGAGGAGACATTTTTCATTAAGGAATTATCCTATAATGATCAACTTACTTTTCTGGTGACCAGTAAAATTTATCACTAAATTATATAGTTCAGTATAAGTATTTAAAAAGCATAAGATCAGGGGTAGTAGTGTGCCGGCATCTCATACAGAAGCCCCATTTTGGGTCCTGGCCACTCTGCTTCACAGCCAGCTCCCTGCTAATGTACCTGAAGAGCCAGCAGAGGATGGGCCAAGTCCTTGGACCACTGCCACCCTGTGGGAGACCCAGAAGAGGTTTCAGGATCCTGGTTTCAGATGGGTGTACCTCCTGCCATTGCAGTTATTTTGGGAGTGAACCCAAAATATGGAAGATCTTTCTCTCTCTCTCTCTCCTTTTCTGTAAACCTACCCTTCTGATAAAAATAAATAAATTTTAGGGTCAGGATGATGGCCTGCTGGCTAAATCCTAGTCTTGCATCTGCCCATATGGGTGCCAGTTCATGTATCAGTTGTTCCACTTTCCATCCAGCTCCCTACTTGTAGCCTGGGAAGGCATAAAGGATGGTCCAAGTCCTTGGGAACCTTCATCACATGGGAAACCCAAATCACGTGGGGAACCCATAGGAGGCTCCTGGCTTTGGATTGGCTCACCTCCAGCTGTTGCGGCCACTTGGGGAGTGAACCAGCACACAGAAGATCTTTCACTGTCTCTATATCTCCTTCTCTCTGTATATCTGCCTTTCCCATAAAAAATAATAAATATTTTTAATTTAAATAATTTTAAAATAAATAAAAATTATATCCTATTATAGCTTTAATTAAGTCATCACTTAGTTTAGTATTCCTGTTTAACAATCCTAAATATGATTAAGAGGGTATTCAAAAATAGCTTTCCAGTAACAGCCTACACAGGTTCTCGTCCCACTCTTTGACATCTGTAAAATAGCCATGCATTGTATACATCAATGAAATTTTCATATTAAACTATCTCCAATACCAATCAAAAAGGAATATTTGTAGCCACTTACCGCAATCTCTCTACATGCCGACATGGATATTCCTGTGCCTTCAATCTGCTTCAGTGCATACTCCTTTTCATCTTTTCTGCAAATGAACAACAAAAAGAAAGTTTCACTTTTCCATATTACCTTCACTTTCAAAATTATAGCTGCCAAAACAAATGTAATACTTCCAGTGATATGTAAACATTCTCACTATGCTACACATTGCTTATTGTTTTTTATACTATTTCAATTGTGAAAAATGAAATACCAGATTCATGTCACAGTGAAAACATCAGACAGAGCCAAGACACAAAATTCAAACTTGAAACAGGATATTAAACACTAGGATTTTTTAAAAAGTAAATGAGCATAAATATAAATTAAAATATCTTGCAAGATAATTCCACTCTTGTCCTAATTCTATGAAAGCATTAAACACCAACTACAAAAATAACTGGCAAACATAGACACATGGATTTATTTAAAACAAGTTCCTGGTAAGAGATGTGTTTATAAGAGGAAGAATCCAAAGGCACACACTGGTTCTCATCTAGCATAGCAGCATTCAAAAAAATAAAATAATGCAGTGCCAGAACCCCATGAGAGCTGGTTCTACTCCTGGCTGCTTCACTTCTAATCCAACTCCCTGCTGATGGTCTGGGAAAACAGTGGAGGACAGATAAAGCCTTGGGCCCCTGCATCATGTGTGAGACTTGGAAGAAGCTTCTGGCTACCACCTTCAGACTGGCCCACCTCTGGCCACTGTGACCATGTGGGAGCTGAACCAACATATTGAAACTCACTCGCTCTTCCTCTCTCTCTGTCTCCCTCCCTGAGAAAGGGAGTTATTTCAATATTTAAATATTAAGGTATTTAACTATTTTAAATAATAAAAATAGATAAATAAATTTAAAAAAAAATAAAAACTTTCTAATCTCCCCCATCAAAAAAAAAAACCACAACCACAAAATTAACATATCGATAACTCAGGAACCCTAAAAGAAACACAGCAGTTACACTGCCTTTTCCAAATGCTGGAGGCTAGTTTTAGACATTCTAGAGAACTACTGAGGTTTCCAGAGTGATTAACCAATAGAAGACAGCAGTTGAGTAATGGTGATGAGTAGCGAGTATGTCACAGTAAGCAAACTCAAGTAGGCACCCAGAACCAATCTGAGGTCCGAGATGCACACTTTAACTAGGGTTCACACTGATGATTATGGAAACAGGAGCCAGGCCCTTCCAGTTTAGTCTTATGGTTATGTTAGACCCTCAGCCAGGCACTTCCACAGTGTGAAGGTTCTGTCCAGCTACAGAGGTGACACAGGGTCACCCTGGTCCGACCCAGCTAGTCCTTGTTTCCCCGTTCTGTGTTTGCAGACAGCAGTTTTACTAGATGAAGAATCTAATATGAGGGGGGAAAAAAAGTATTTTGAAGAAATGAAACTAAAAACAAAAGACAGAATCAAATTACCACCCATTCATATTAACCCTGAATGCAAATGGATTAAACTCATCAAACGTCATAGATTAGTAGACTGGATTAAAACAAACAAAACCCATCTATTTGGTGCCTTCAGAAACACATATCACCAACAAAGATCAGCAAAAACTATTATCTCATGGATTTTGATTTTTTTTTAATTTCATCTCTTCAAAACATTTTCTATTTCATTAACTTCTTCACTGACTCATAGATCATACAGCAGCATCATTTTCTTCAAAAAGATTCTTGATTTTTTTTTCATTTCTTCAGCGACACAATGATTCAGTAGCATGTTATTTAACTTCATGGCGATGTAAGTTTCCATTTCTTCTTCCTGTTGGTATTTTGTTTTGTGGCTTTTCATTTAAGGGGATGTAGAATAGAGTAATGGAGACTATCATATCCAGATATGAGGATACAATGCAGTATGCATCTCTACATCCTAATCAAAAATGGACTACCAATGAAACTGCTAACTGTATCTTGACAATAGAATGCTGGATTCTGCCATTGTCCATGCTCACAATGATGGGCATATGACTGTCTATGAAGAACTATACTACAGTAATAATATAGACCTCGGGGGGGGGGGGAAGACTTAAAGGATGGAGGAAAGGAAAATCCCAGGGAATATGGAATTGTATTATAATATGATAATAATAATTTTAAAAGAGAAGTTAAAAAAATTGTAAAAACCATCAAAAGATATTTGCGAAGTTTCTTTGGGAATCCCCACAACTGAACTGCTGGATTCAGAATGCCAACCATGGAGAAATGCAAGTTCCATGGGCTGACTGTGGAGTACATGTGTCAGAGCTTGGGCGCCTCAGTGCCTTAGACGGAGCAGTGGACAGCATATCCAGGTGCACATGGAGGATATGGCAGTACACTGGAGCCTGCAGAGGACACCTGGTACCAGAAAAGAGCACAGAGGACAAATTGATCATCTACCCTAGCCAAGTGTTGGCAGTGACAATCTGGGTAAATGGAGATTCTAAGGTGGACTATGCCAGCCAGTGGATTCTGGAGATTTCATCGTGCTTGGAATGGCAAGGTAGGCAGCAATTCAGAACTGTTGAACTATCAAAACCACTTGAGCAGTACCCTCGGAGCATGCTCCACATCAGGGACCCTGGGATGGGTGAGAGGCTGGGTGGGAGGCTGGGTGGGGCTTCTGTCCTTATCTTCCCCCTTAACCCAGATAGAGAAAAAAAGAGAGAAAGTGGAAACAATGGTCTTACTCACTTTTCTGTAGCCCTTCACCCTTTGTGCCCTAATCAACTATGTAAAGATTATAAAAATAAAATAATAATAATAAAAGAGAACATCTGTAAATACCACTTGTAGGGCAGGTTTAGAAGAGGCATATTCTTTGAGTTATTCTTTACTTTGGAAGAATTTTATTTCATTTTCAAAGACAAAGAAAAATTTTGCTGGGTACATTATTCTGGGCTGAAAATGTTTTGCTTTTAGAATGTGGAATATGTTGCTCCATTTTCTTCTGACCTGAAGAGTTTCCTATGAGAGATCAGCTGTGAATTTAATTGGCATTCCTCTATATGTCACCTGATTTTTTTTCACTTACATATTTAAGGATCATTTCTTTATGCTTCATTGAAGAGAATCTGATTATCATGTGGTGAAAATTGCTCCTGGTCAACCCCGTTGGGAGTTCTGTGCCCTACTAGATGTTGTTTCCCAATTCTTCTTCCAGATAAGGGAAATTTTCCTTTAATATTTCATTGAATACATTTTAAAATCCAGCTTCTCTTTCTGTGCTTTCTGGAACTCTCTTAACTCTTATATTTGGCCTTTTAATAGTGTCTCTTAATTCTGGAATACTTTTTTTTAAGCTTGACCCAGCTCTGCTTCCACCTTTTTGATTGTTTCACCACTGTGACAGGAAATATCTTTTAATTCTAAGATTCTTTCTTCTGCCTTCTTCATTCTATTATTGAGATTTTTCCATTGAGTTTTTAATTTTCTCTACAGCATACTTCATTTCCAATAATTTGGCTTGGCTTTGTTTCAGCACTGCAATTTTTTGTGTGACATACTCCTTAAATTCCTGCATGTGTCCTTATGTTAGACTTCCACCATGGACTCCGTGCCCCAGCTCCAGGCTCAGCACTCTACCTCCTGTGATCCTGCGCTGTTATTGCACTGTTGTACGTATAATGCTTCTCCCAATTGTGGTACATTCTCCCAATTGCCAGAATTAGGGAGACACCACGTGTCCTGAACAGCTAGGTTGCTGGCACTGCTGATCTTGCTGGAACCTGCTGGTCGTTACGTGTGAGGGTCAACCAGACCTATTTTGAGTCATAAGATGTCAAAGTCAGTATATTTTTCAATGTGGGACCAGCGCAATGCACTGAGCTCAGTGAGTTTGCTTTCAGCTCAGCTCAGCTCATGCACAGCTCACTGTTGTCCCTGCAGTCTCAAAGCCTTTGCCACACTGTACAAAATGGTGATGAGTGCAACTCCCGAAGTTCTTGATCTGCTGGCTGTTAGGTCTCAGGGTTCCCTGGACCTGTCCTGGACAGAACCTATAGGATGCCACATCGTTGCAATTCACTGAGCCCAAAATGAGTTTGCTCCCAGTTTAGTGCATGTGCAGTATGGTCCCATACAAATGTTGCCTGAGTCAGCTCTTCGGAGAAGACTGAGCTGTGAAATCTACCCTGCTCCCACGCCGTCTGTTGTTGTGTCTCTGCTCCTGCTCAAATCAAACAGACCAGCAGGACAGGCAGTTCTTTGTCTGGGTTCACCTTCTGAGCTCCCAGTGAACTCTCCTTCCCACCTTATCGCTGGTGGACTTCCAGCGGCCAGCAGAGTTCAGATCACCACTGGCTGAATGCCACTGGGGTATCAGGTCACTGCAGCACCACACCGCTGTCTCCACTGCTTTCCTGTGTCAATCAATCTCCAGGTGCCCCTCTGCCTTCGGTTTGTCCTCTCTTGTTTCTTGGAATGTGCCCTCTGCTTCACCCTGGCTAATGATTCTATGTTTGTTTAAACGTGTCCACACCTTTTTCCGCCATCTTGATTCTCCTAGCACACACTTTACGTGCCTTTGAAGATTTTCACAATCATCTATGATTTAGGCAAATAATTATCTGCTTCCTTTATTGTTTAAAAACGATAACCACTTCTCTCCCAATACATGGCATTCAGGAAATAATCAGGTAGCATTTCAATAAATACAAACCACACCAAATGTGTTAACAAGACAGACTAGGTGGCAATTATTAAAATGATGACCATGGGACTGGCACAAAGGCTCAATTGGCTAATCCTCCATCTGTGTCAGCATCCCTATGAGCTCCAGTGTGTGTCTCAACTACTCCACTTCCCATGCAACTCCCTGATTACGGGCTGGGAGGGCAGCGAAGTAAGGACCAAAGCCTTGGGACTTTGCACCCATAGGCAAGACCCAGAAAAAGTTTCAGGCTTTGGATTGGCTCAGCTCCAGCCCCTGCAATCATTTTAGGAGTGAATTAGCACATGCAGGATCTTTCTGTCTCTCCTTCTCTCTATAAGTCTGTCTTTCCAATGAAGATAAATAAATCTAATTTTAAAAAAAGATGGCTATGAGGGTCATTAGAAACTTG